TTTTAAAGGGCTTTTGGGAGTGATTGGGGTAGAAAATCAATCTAAGGCATCCTAAGGTAAGGATTCTTGCTTTGGATGTAAGATTTTGTGAGGTTTTGGATATATTTGTATGTGGAAGTCTCATGGTTTTATTGTTTAAAGGGTAGAGACAAGGCTAGCAGTCCAAAGGAAAGGAAGTGCTAGTGAGATCCCTCCATTTCAAGGTAAGTAAATCCCCACCTAAGTTGAGGTTTGATAACTTTTTGAGTAGAGATTTAATAGCAATTATGTATGTATGTTATGTGCATGTTATATGCTATGAAATTGAGATTATTGATCCATGTTGTGATTGAATACACTTCATTTAAGAGAAGTGTTGATATGTGATGAGAAGATGTAGTTGAGATGAGGTTTGGAAGGTTTTGAGTAAACCTTTTTAGAAGTGTTATTCCTTGGCAGGATTTATAGCTTGCAACTATATGGTTAGTTGCTAAAAAATGGTTGCAAAATGTCAGTTTTCTTGTAGTGTAAGAAACGGGTTGGTGCTTTGTGATGTCTACCCGATAGTTATGAGAAATGGTGTTGTGCTTTGTGATCTGCACCCGATAGTTATGAAAAACGGGTTGGTGCTTTGTGATCTGCACCCGATAGTATGAGAAACGGGTTGGTGCTTGGGATCTCCACCCGATAGTTATGAAACGAGTTGATGCTTTGTGATCTCCACCCGATAGTTATGAGAAATGGGTTGGTGCTTTGCTCCACCCGATAGTTAAGAAACGGGTTGGTGCTTTGTGATCTCCACCCGATAGTTATGAGGAACAGTTGGTGCTTTGTGATCTCCACCTGATAGTTATGAGGAACGTTTGGTGCTTTGTGATCTCCACCCTATAGTTAGGAGGAACGGTTGGTGTTTTGTGATCTCCACCCGATAGTCATGAAAATGGGACGGGCTGTGTGAACTCCACTCGGCCATGCCTCTAATAAGATGAGGCCATGACATATAACAGAAATTAATAAAAGAAAGCTGTGTGAAAGAGAAACAGAAACAGAATAAGTGTAAGAAATAATTAAGAGAATGAGCTACGGGATAGAAAGTAGCGGTTTTACTTACTGAGCATTATTTTGTGCTCACCCCGTTATTTTCCTTTATGGATGCAGGATCTAAGTGATGATGCAGTCGGAGGGGCGTCAGTAAGCGAAGAGCAATAGCTACACCGTTCCCCTGTTTTTGAATGATATTTTGTAAATGATACTCTTTTTTGTACAAAGAATATATATAAGTAATACAAGAAAATTTCTGGCCCATTTACTTTTATATTATACTTGTATTTTACTAGTATACTGCAGTTGTTACATTTTTGGTATCAGAACCGAGATTTTGGGATTTAACAGTGTACTATTCTCATCGCTACGACGTCCGAGAACCACTGTGTGAGTTAATTCTTTCCTTACTCTAAGTGTTTCTTGAATTGCAAATTTGGTTGTTTTGTAATGAGGCTTAGTTACCGAAAGCATGGTAAAGTGTGTCGATGAGGAGACCCTTCAACCCACTTAACCCACTAGAGCCTAGCCCCCTTCCTTGGATGAAGCTCGAATTTGGGGAATTATACAGCAAGTTATGGCAGAAGCCAAGGGAGAGTTGAAACCCCGTGCAGGTACCACCAGTTCCTAACGTCAAAAGAGGACAACCGGTACCTCGCCCGTACAGAACAGAGTTGAACCGATTTACGGTCTTTCCAGTCAATATCAACCCTCAGAGTTTAAGGGTACTACGAATCCAATAACAGCAGAAGAATGGTTTAGGTCCGTAGATCGTATGACAGGTTTATTCCCCATGACAGACCGGAGAAAATCCGGTATGTGAGTTTCTTGTTTCGGGGTGATGCCCGAATTGGTGGGAATTAATGAAAGAAACCCATGTATGGCAACGATGACTTGGGAAGAGTTTAAGCAAGAGTTTGAGGCCGAGTATAGAACAGGACCAAGTTCATGAGAAGGTCTAAGAATTTATCAACTTACAGCAAGGGTCTAGTACCGTGAAGAGTACTCGGTGAAATTCAATTCTCTTGTAAGGTTTGCACCAGAAATAGTCAGTATTCCGGCATTGAGAAGAGATAAGTTTGTACACGGTTAAGCCAGAAATAGCCCGGGATATAATGACAAGTTTCGATCCCTCTCGAACTCATAGTGAGGCCTTGAGGCGGGCAATGAAAGCGGAGATCTTTGAGAATTCCCCTAGTAGGCTCCTCGATAGAAAGACTAAGTAAGCCACCCTCCGCCCTGCGAGAGAGAAATTGGAAGGTGTAAAAGGTAAAGAAATGAAGAATCAGAAGAAGAGATTTCAGTTTAGACAGAATAGAAGAGAGTGGAAGAATAAGCGGCCCCAGACGAAAGGGTTTCCTCTTTGTCCTAAATGTGGGAGGAACTATTCAGGAGAGTGTCTGAGAGACCAGAAGTGTGTTATAGGTGCCGACAGCCAGGGCACATGATGAGAGATTGTAAAGCTCTCTTCCACCACCTGCACAGAGTTTTGGAGGCACTACAACTGCCAGAGTGTTTACTGTGGCACAAAGTGAAGTAGAGGCCAGTCCATCAGCCGTTACTGGTTAGTTCTATTTCATTCTGTTCCTTTATATGCCTTAATGATTCAGGAGCTACTCACTCATTTATATCGTATGGATGATTGAGAGGTTAGGTTTAAGACCCACTAGAGTGACTCAACCCTTTAAGATAGAGTTACCCGATGGGGCTAGTGTTCTGACACAAGAATTTTTGTCAGGAGAGTCTGTGGTGATCCAGGGTAGAGATTTAACAGTAATTAATAGTTTTTTGATATGCCCGCTTTGATGTGATATTGGGCATGGATTTCCTAGGGAGATATGGAGTAGAATTGATTGTCGGAAAAAGAAAGCAAGATTTAATCTCGATAGTGGAGACAAGTTTAGTTTTGGAAGGGCCATCAGTTGAGTATGTCGATTAGCGTGGAAAGCTAGAAAGAGGTTGAGAAATGGGTGTTCGGGATTTATTGTCCATGTAGTGCAGAGTGGTGATGTCCCATAGCCAGATTCAGGTGCCAGTAGTTAAGATTTCTATTGAGTGTTTTTGGAGAGTTCTTGCCTCCAAGAGTTGAGATGTTAGTTGTATGTTTTATGCCATAGCCCCCAAGGATCAACACTATTAGTTTAGAGCTCGCCGCCTTATTAGATGTGCCCGCCGCCTTCTAAGTCTGGGTCCCTACAAGACTTAAAAGTACAGACTCTACAGATGCTTTTAGTATGAGAGTTTATCCGACCGAGTCATCATCTTAGGGTGAGCTCAATCGTTTGTGAAAAGAGTTAAAGTCTTCAAGGATGTGTATAGATCTGTGTAGATGTGAATAAGTTCAGTGAGAATAAGTACCAATCCCGGATAGATGACTTTTGATCATTAAGGAGCGGCAGTGTTCTCCAACGATTTGAGGTCAGGGTTATCAGTAGAGTGGTTGAGCAATGTGCCAAAACTGCCTTCTACAAGTATGGGCATATGAATTTGTAGTTATGCCTTTGGCTGACCAATGCCCTAGCAGTTTTTATGGACTTGATGAATCGGTATTCCATGAGTATTGGATCAGTTTATTGTTGTTTTTATTGACGATATCTTGATTTATTCTAAGTCGAAGGAAGAACATGAGGAACACTTGAGATTAGTATTGCAGCGATTGAGAGAAAAGAATTTGTATGCTAAATTTTCTAAGTGTGAGTTTTGCTTAATCAGTGATATTTCTGGGCCATACTGTGTCTAAGGAAGGGATATCATTGATCCGAGTAAGGTTCAGGCAACACTTAATGGCGAAGCCGAGGACAGTGAAAGAAGTCAGGAGTTTCTTAGGCTTACCAGGTTACTACCGACAATTTGTAGCAGGGTTCGCCCAGTTGGCTAAACCGTTAACAGCTCTTACCAAATAGAAAGCTCCTTGTATGGTCATTAACGTGAGGAGAGTTTCCAAGAGTTGAAAGAGGTTACAAACATCTCCCGTGTTAGTGTTACCACAGGAAGTGTAGATTATAACATTTTACAGATGCCTCTCTGCAGGACTTGTCTGTATTGATGCAGTTAGGTAGGGTTATAGCTTATGCTTCTCGTCAACTGAAAGAGTACGAGACCAGATACCCTACGCATGACTTAGAGTTGGCGGCCGTGGTCTTTGAATTAAAGATTTGGAGGCATTACCTTTATGGTGTAAAGAGTAATATCTACACTGATCATAAAGTTTAAAGTACTTCTTCACTCAGAAGGAGTTAAATATGGAAAGAGAAGTGGCTAGAGCTGGTTAGATTATGAATGTGAGATCAAGTACCAATCGGGGAAAGCCAATGTCGTGGCCGATGCTTTGAGTAGAAAGCTTACCTGTTCCGACTCACTAAGCAAAAAGAGTTGCTAGAAGAACTGTGTAGAGACCAGATTGAAGTGTTTCCAGGAAGGATGGCCAGCTAGAGATTCAGTCTACTTTACTGGAATAAGTACAGATTGAAGTGTTCCACGCCAAGATCTTCATCCCAAATAAAAATATACTCATAAGCTGCAACAACGTCAGGATGCAAAAACCTTTTTGCATACCACCTGCCAATCATATGTGAAAATGAAAGCTTAAATTGAAGATTTCTCGCATCAAAACCCTGACAATAAATCCAAGCAATTCAAGAATGGATGATCATGAAAACAAAACATATAAAAACAATGAGATGCTTATTCTACACTTTGGTAGCTCTCAAATTAAAGGAGCTAAAAGGTTGGAATTCAGTACTATGCAGAAGATCTTAAAATCTCACCATTTTGTTTGTCTCCTTGTACTAACATGGATTGTGCTCTTTGACCACTCAAATTCATCCCATTCACTTGTCCGACCATCATAGTGGAAAACCAAATTAAAGTTGGAAATCCCCAGTAAACTATCAAAATTTATGTAACAAAAACCTCAGTATCTCTGAAGTAAAAACCAGTTGAGGTAGAAAAAAAGAATGAAATGGTCCATTCATATACACCTTTTTAACCATTCTATCAATATTTTGCCTCTGATTCAGACCAACTGTGATTGTTAGCAAGTACTTCAGCTTTTGCTTCAGATCCTGCAAATTCTAGAGCATTTACTTAAGTCAATTCCAATAATCTAAAACGTTGATCCAACATGCACAATCAGTAAAGAGGTCAAACTTGAGGATTCTCTATTACTTCACACTTTTGGTAGAATGGAAATTTGATGCGCAAAATTTTTTTTCAGACTATGAAAAAAGAAGTTTACCGTCTTCATTGTTGGCCTTCTAGAAGATGAATGCAAGAGGCAGAGGCGTGCCGCACACATCATTATTTCCATTTCTTCCTTCTTGTAGTCTTTTCCCAAACTAAGACATCAAAAGTTTAAAAAAAAAAAAATCAATTAAAAGAGAATATTATACGTAACCAGTGCGTGCATGTCCAACTAAGTCGGAGCCATCAAGAACCATATCAAAAATGGTGGCCTGAATTGGAAACAGGGACTCAATATCCTTAGACTTGAGTTTCTATCTCAATGGTTCCGATATTCGAAACCGAGAAATAGCATTCGGATTCTCACTCTTCTCCTCCTCTTCCACCTCAGCATCTATTTTCGCTTTCTTTTGCTTCTTCTTATATATCCGATTTCAAATTCACAGGCTCACCTAATTCCGAGCTCGTTTCACTTCTCTCTTCGTCATCTTCTTCCATAGCCTTTGAGTTCTTGCTATCCTTCTTCTTAGACCTTTCAGAGTCATCCGCCTTATTCTTTGAGTCCTTCTTTTTCTTCTTTTCCGCAGAAAAGTTAGTTTCCTCTAAACTTTGAAGAGCTATTTTCTTCGTCATCTGCCTCTCTTCTTTCGTTCCGTTAACGTTGAAGGGTGCTAAAGAAGGCATATGGAGAGAGGTGTAGAGAGTTTCTTTTTGGGTAATGTAAATAGCATTACAAGATTAAAGGTCTCACTCAAACATAATTGAAATCAGATTCAATGTTACCATGTAAGAGAACTAAAGAATCAAAAATTGTACTTACGGGAGATTAGCGACTGCCTCATATTCGATGAATGAAGGAAACCAAGGAGATCAATTGAATGATGAAGATGCGTGGAGAAGAGATGAAGTCAGGTTCTGCAATTCGGAAATTCGGGCAACAGCGATTAAGATGAAGGCGCGTCAGATCGAAGAGATGAAGATGCGTGGGGAAAAGATAGAAGTCAGGTTCTACAGTTTGGAAATTCGGGCAACAGCGAGGGCAAACATGTGTGGAGAAGAGATGAAATTTGGGTTGTGCGTTTGGGAAATTTGGGGAAAAAGCTAGGGCAAACATGCGTGGAGAAGAGATGAAATTGTAAAAAATGCTTGCTTTATATAGGATAGGGTATTCTGTAAATAACTTAAAAAAGTAAGGGTTCTAATTAATTATTTAATTTTGAAATATAATTCTATTATGGAAATAAGTCAATTTGCAACTAAAATTTTAGTCAGTAAAGAATTAGTGTTAGTTGCCCATAATTGAGGTCTGGCAGGAACAAATAATTTTGGAGGGAATATGAATTTTTTAAGTTAAATTAGCAACTAAATCAAATTTAGTTGCTATATATACTTTGGGGCCTTTGTAATTACTGTCCAAATATAAGATATTTTGGTAATTTCATTTTTCTACAACTAATCATAATAGTTACTAATAAATTTCTAATTATTCGCAACTAATTTAACAACTAAATTAGTAGTTGCAAAAAATTGTTTTTTGTTACCGAAAATTTAGATGCAAAAGCCATATTTTAGATGCAAATTATCAAATTTTGGAGGGAAAAATCACCCGAAAAAAATTGCAACTAAATTTATTAGTCACTAAAGCAACCGGTTCTATGACTAATAAAATAGTCGCAAAAAATTAACTTTAGATGCCAAATGTTGGAATATGTGGGCCCCAAATTTTTAATCCTCTTTGCTCAACTAATGTCAATTTAGTTGGTAAATGTAGCCTTTTTGCAACTAATTCTGGTTAGTTGCTAAAAAATTGGTTGCAAAATGTCAGTTTTCTTGTAGTGATACTCTTATCAGGTTAAGACTTGAGAACAATGTTACGCATTCAAGGTATTCAAATCTGTTTATCTTAATTGATGTGCTGTTTATCATATGCCACACTATTTCATCGTTCATACATTAATACAATGAATAAAGATATATCAAATGTAAATTTTGGAATAATAATCCTTGAGATGTATAACATTGATACATTATTATTTCAAGATATGAGGAAAAAAAAGTGTTGCATAATAAAAAAAAAAAAAAAAAGAAGAAGAAGAAAACCAGAAAATCTATTCTATTCTATAAATTAAACCTATATACTGTATTTGGCAAATTTGTACCAAAATGAGAGGGCCTAAACCGAATCAAATCCATATCATACTTTAAAGATTTAAAATTCTTCTCAGAACTGCATGAACAAATTAAAAGTTCCTTAATATTAAAAAATTGTGGGCATAATAACTTTTATTAAGTGGAAGTGTCAGTCACCCTCTTGGATGTGAGTGTTCTGCTTTAGGCTATGCAACGAATGCCACAAAGTAAGTGCTTATATTTCGTTGGTGATGTTATTGGTGATGGAAAACTTAATAGATTTTGCCTTTAATAATGAAATATTTTATGTGACCTGTTCTACTTAAATGGCTTTTTTCCATTGTTTTAAAACCCAATTTGGGATGAAACCCAACAAAGTGGTCACGTCCCGGGTTGATCAATTGAACGGGTTTGACCGACGCGTCAAGCCAATGACGTCAATATGTTCAAAGGTTTGAAATCCAATAAAAAACACTCATAAAAGTAACCATAAGTCCCTACAGGTTTGAAATCCTGCAAAAACACACCAAATTACACCATTGGCATAGACAACCTAGGCCAAATAGGGCATATTTCTGGTGACGACAACACATCCCATCACCACAAAAACTCTTCCTTCAGCCTCCTAACCAAAACCCAGCTCACCCCAGCCACGTTCACCTCGCCAATCTTTGGCAAGTCGGCAACAACTCACTATTTTTGCCGATCAATTTTTGCGATTTCTGGTTGTCTCACTCACCGAAAATCACCTTGATCGCCACCTTTCGACATCCCAACCACTAATTGTTTGCTAATCGTCATCCTAATTTCTAGGGTTTGCCATGAATAGTCAAAATTGAAAACCCGCCTAGTGAAGGCCCCAGGTCTTGGATGAACTGGTTCAACGGGTCGGGTTGGGTCGGATTTTAAAATACAATTTTTGGTCATTCATGGACCATGGTTGTCTTTTTAATGAAAGGGACCAAATTTTTTGACAAAGTTAATTTGTATTAATTTCATGATACGTTTTGGATGAAATATGCATGTGCAACGTTTTAATTGGACAAATTAATCTACTTTATTTGATCCATTTAATTTAATTAATGATATTAGCCTTACAATTATGTGCTTTCAAAAAACTAGTTTTAGATTTAATTTATTTTTTAATTTTAAATATTTTATTGTTAGTATTTATTATTTGATTATTACATATAAGATATATGAATGTGAGATATATAGAAAAAAATGTTGAAGTCTGTTAAGCCTGGAAAAGTAGGGCTGACGCAAAGCCCAGTCAGCACAAGTGGTCAGAGTCTTGGCAGATCCTGCAACTATTCAGGTGTGGCCACGTTGCATGCTGGCGTGAGCAGCATGCTCCTGCCAGTGCAGTGGGTGCGCGCTAGATTGTTGAGAGGCTGAAGGTCGTCCACATGTCCAAACCCTGCATGAAACGAGGACACGCGAGTAGGTGGACAACGGGACGTAAAGGAGGATCTGCACGGTACCTGACTCCTTTTTACAAATTCAGTAATCATTACCTCAATGTATCCCACTATAAATAGAGAGCTTCTCTCCCGTTTGTGGGATTTGCTCATTTTTACTCTTGATTAGCTAATTTCGCTCTGTAATAGCTCTCCTTTCTCATTTGTATTCTTAACACTCCAAGGTCAGCTCATTAAGCCACGACTTGATCCTTCAAATATAAATATAATATCAGTGGACGTAGGATTCGATTGTTTAAGCATCTGAACCACTTTAAACATTGTCTTGCCACCATTTACATTCTCAATCCCCCATTTAGCGTGTGTCTTCTGGGCCAGCTCAGCATTTCACATGTATGTTTAGTTGGTGTCAAAATCACGCATCAACAATTTGGCGAAAGAAGGAGGGCCTAATTTAGTGTTCGTCCTTCATCAAGAGAATCTCTCACTAACTGGTCCTATAACAGCAAATGGCTCGCCGATTTGAACCTGAGCGAACCAATCATGGTGCTGAGGAGATCCCCTAAGTATAGGACACTTCCCTCGAGGTGCCCTCAGTTCCACAAAATGCCACGGGGGATATCCCATCAAGTTTGCAACTTGACCCTGCCATCATGAGCTACCTGGAGAGGTTCAATAATACTCTCCAAATGGTCAACCAAAGGTTGGACCGTTTGGACCAGGGTATGCCACCCGAATCAAATGGGGTGGTGCAACCGCCAAAAACGCCTGCAGGTCATGTGAAAGCAAGGAAAAGGGTGATAGCCCAAGCTATGCACACTGCAGCATGTCAAAGAAAAGGTAAGCAAGTGGCAAACAACGGGCCTAAGGGCTCCAAAGGGCCGGTAAACACCAACCAAGTCCCAAGTAGAATACCCATGGCATTGAGGCTCGGTGAAAGGTTGCATCCTGAGCTGTCCCATGCCACGTCGCATGAGCACTCCCATAAAAGTGCTAGGCAGGGCGATTCTCATCACCGCCAGAAAAACGATCATAATCGTCAGCGTGCGAGAGGTTCCCACACTTCGCGAGGCGGTTCGTACCACCACGGAGGTCGTGAAAATTCCCCGCACCATTCATCGTCATCACATGACTCTAGCCAGCGTGTGTCAAGGGTGGTCGAAACTACCGACCGAGGCGAAGAGGAATCTGACCTCCAGACTTTCTTCAACTACAATTGCAAGGGTCGAACTAGCATAGGGGAAAGCAATCCCTAGATAGCTCCGCTGCCTTAGATTGAGGAGCTACAGCGAGCTCTAGATCAGCTAAAAGCTCAGCAAAACGAGCAAGGGCAGGTCGCAGCAGCGTCCCCCTTTTCTCTGACAGTATTAGCTGCCCATCTCCCATCAAGATTTAGAATGCTCAATATGCGGGCGTTCGATGAAAATTCTGATCGCAGGATCACTTGTATGAATTTAACAACCTGATGGAGCTTTACCAGGTTTCAGACTTGGCAAAGTGTCGTTGTTTAGTAGTAAGTCTAACCTCTCATGCCAAACGATGGTTCAGGTCTCTCCCAGCGGGATCGATCAGCTCGTGGCCTTAGATGAGCACGACGTTCCTGAGGCACTTCCAAGCAAACCGAAAGTTCTCAATGCCTTTAAGCTACCTCAACAACATAAGGCAAGGGAGAGATGAATCCCTCTAGTCTTACATCAACCGATTCCACAAAGAACTTAATAAGGTAGCTCACTTTCCCAAAGAGTCTGTTCGGACTCTCATCATAGCGGAAGTTCACCCACAAACTGACCTGTGGAAAGAGCTACAGGCTGAGGATGATGTTTTTCTCACCCGCTTTTATAACCTTGCGGAGAAGTACCTCCATATTGAAAACTCCGCGGCGGCACTCCACTGCTGCGACCCCGGTGCTTCAGATAGTGTACATGGTCGAGGGGATCGCAGATGGGCTAATGACGATCAACGAAAAGGAAAGAAATTGTGGTACGAGCCCAAAAAGTCTTATGCTCCAGTTCCTCGTCATGATTGCGACAGAAATCAGTATACGCCCTTGAATGCATCTGTATCAGCTATTCTTGAAAAGTCAGAAGAAGCCGGCCTCCTCAGAGAGCCTGAGCCTATGAAAAATCCCCCATCAGCCAGAAATAGTAAAAAATACTATCGCTTTCATCGGGATAATGGGCATCACACCGATGAATGCTGAGCTCTCAAACAGGCAATCGAAGATCTCATCAAGCAAGGACATTTCAAAGAGTATATTGATGACTCCACTCTCGTGCAGGAGAAAAATCAAGGGGAACCAGGAAAGAAGCGTCGTGATCGCAAGGGTATCTGCAACATCAGAATGATCTTTGGGAGACTGCACCTCGCGGGGAACTCAAGAGGTGCCTAGGAAAGATATGCTTGCACAGCCCATCACGATCCTATCAGTATGATGAACACGACGCGACGACCACTTAAGGTTCGCAAGGAGGAGGAAATTACCTTCTTAAAAAAGGACGCAGTTCGATTGCATCATCCCCACGATGACGCTCTCGTGATCACACCCCTAATAGGGCGCTTC